GGAGCAGATGAGAGAAGAAAATGTCCAAACCACCTTTATACAAAAGGTAAATGCTAACTCATCTCAAAAGTATAATACAATTAAATCCCTTAGATGTCTTGAAATCAGACATCGCCTCTAATACTTAAATAAGAAGATCATGCTAGTGAGTGATGATAGTGGAATTGATAGTGTCAGTGACTGTGAGAGCAAAGATAATAACAGTACCATTAGAGGATGTGGAGAAAAGTGTTGAATATTCAACTCAAAGTGAAGCTTTATTTATCAGGAGAATTTTAAATGTCTAATTTAGAAGAAAGTAACCAAAGAGAGAATATTTTTCACACTCATTGCTTTGTAAATGGGAATGTATATAGCCTCATTATAGATGGGCGTAGTTGTACCAATATTGTCAGTACTGCCCTAATTGATAAATTTGGGTTTACGTGCACGCGCTATCCTCACCATTACAAACTGCGGAAGTTGACTGATTATGGAGAGATGAAAGTGACTAAACAGGTGTTAGTTTCCTTCTCTATTGGGTGATACACTTACAAAGTACGTTGTGATATTGTGTCCATGCATGTTAGTCACATCCTACTAGGAAGACCTTGACAGTATGATAAGCGTGCAACTTATGATAGTTATAGGAATCGTAATCCTTTAGTATGAGCTGCCAAAATTTTACACTTGCACCATTATCACCTGATAAGGTATTCAAAATCAATAGTAGCTCAAAAACTTCATAAAGTCCGGAAGTAAAAAAGGATTGAACAACATGAAGAGAGAAAGTTACTAAATGGAAAAGAAGAAGCTAAATAGGCCATCTTTCAAAGAAAAATTATTAACTCACCTTAAATCTTATTTGCTTAATGGCGTTGTTTTGCAGGACATTTTCTCAAAGAAAACATGATTGGTAAAACCTCTATATAAGAAATGTCCGATTCGATGATGAATCATTTTTTTAAGAGGGAGGGAATGATGTGAGCATGGATCATGAAAAGATGGATGACCATGCCTAAAAGCATGAAAAAGTTGGTGACCAGGAGAGGAAGCTTGAAGGAGATGGCAGCCAAGAAAACCCAACCTGAGGGAAATCTTCCCCTTCAAGAGGGAGAATCCGCCTAAGGGAGAAACCTCCTCTAAACCACATGCAATCTTAGATAAAAGAGAAAATCCCTTTAAGGCACCAAATCCCCCAGGAAAATAGAAGATTTGGGTGGCCATAATGCTTCTTGAATGGCCAGCCCTGAACTTCCACTTATTCTCCCCCCTAATTCTTTTACAATCAATTAAAGTCTTTCCTATTTAAAAAATTTTCACAAGGGAAGATCCTATCTAGCTTATTTAATCAA